CCGCGTGGGCTTGTCCCCCGCCCCCCGACCGAGCCGCTTCTCCTGTCGCCTTTGCAGAGCACGGCAGGAGCGGCCAGACCCAAGGATGCGCTTCCTGCGGCAAAACCTTCTCCTCTTATTTCAAAACGGAGCCCGTTTACCAGCTTCCCTGTGGCCACCTCACATGTCGCCCGTGCGTGGCCGAGAAGCAGAAGTCTCTCTCGTCGATACTGTGTGGGAGTTGTAAGAGGTCGGCTGCCACGCACGACGTCAGGAGGGTTCACTTCTGAGCCCTCGGCTGCCGGAGCCTGCCGGGAGGACGAGAACAAGGAGCCGCTGCTGTTCCCTGTGTCCGTATCGATCCGTAGGAGGACGAAGGCCTTCGGAGAGCTTGCCAGATGAGCGCCCGAAATGGCGGAGGGGACTTGGTCTTCTTGTGCTTACAGAGTAGTGGGGGGTGGGGGGTTAGAGCATCGCGCCAGAGCAAAGCGATCCGAGGATAATAAAAGCCATAGCTTCTTTAACAAGGAACATGTATTTATACAGAACTGATTTCCACCCGTCGCACCCACCCTCTTACCACCATCCCCGTGGCTCAGTGGTTTAGCATAGGTGCCTTTTGGACTGTGAGTTTAGCTTCCCCGTGAGTTAAAACCATTTACGTATTTGACGAGCAGCCATTCGGTCGTGGACCAGGCGAAGTCCTTGTGATTGACAACATTGCAAGCTACCTGACTTCTCCCCTTCCCCGCCTCCCTCCCCTCCTGCCTGCGGTGCCCGCGCTGTCGCTGCAGGAGCGTGTCGTTCCCCCCGGAGTCCAGCAAGTCACGAATTGAGGCCGCGGTTAACGCGTGAGTAACTGGCAGCGATCTCATCCCGCTCGTACGAACTTTTGTAGAAGAGCCATCGCATTACTCCAAACGTCACTCTTGGTTTGTGTCGTGTGACTGGACCAGCTCCCGTCTGGCTGATAGACATTTAAGCCTTAATAAAATGATGTTTAAAGTCAGGTTCTCTTTCTGACTCGTAATTGGTCTCATCGTGAGTCTTAATGATTTCGTGGAGTGAATCTCTTTGCAGAGGACTGAATAAATGGGCTGGAAAAAGCCGAGTCAGTCGACACAAAGGATCTGCAGACCCGTGGGTTTTAGGGGGGGTGTCACAGCAGCTGCGTGGACCATCACAGGTTTGAGACTCAGACACCTAAACCCTGGGAGGTCTGGTCTTCAAAGAGCTGTTCAGAAAAAAAAAAAAAAAACCCAACCAGAACGAAAATCACTCGGATACGTTCTGTCTCCAGCGTGTCCTGGATGTGCCGAGGGTAAGGTGACAGCAGAGGGTTTTGTCACCTGCGTGACCCCCCGCTGTTGCCACTTAATTGGTAATTCCTCTCCGCGGAGCAGATGTTCCTCACTGATGTTCTGTGCCAGTTTCTCTGGGGTAACGAGCCTCCAGCTGACTCAACTCACCTTTGTATGTAATACCTTTATTCTCTTAAAAGGCACCTACTTGCTGAGCAACCTGTAACATTCAGGCTCTCTGCTCAGAGGAAATAGCGGTTTCATCAAGCAACTGAAACACAGCTTTGTATCAGCACTGAACTGATCTTGCTCTTTGTCTGCGTCAGTGGGAGCTTATAAGCCATCTCCATTTGCAGCAAAAATAGGAAGTCCCCCATCTTTAAATAATAAATAGTTAGAAAAGGGGGGGAAAAAAAGTCCTAAAAACCCCACAATTCAGAGGCAGCAAAAACCCTCTTAGTTCTGTGGTGTTGTCATGTTTGCAGTGAACCATCCCGGTGTGATTCAGCGCTCGCACCTCCTCCGCCCCGCATCTCCGGGGAGCGATCGCTGCCGGAGGAGCTCCCCGTCCGCGCAGCCGTCTCCTCCTCCTCTGGCGCTAGCGGAGCACGGTCGCCTCCGATGAAACCCAGAGCCGCCGGCTCAGCCAAGCGTCTCTCCTGCCCAAAAGTTGCTCGTGATACCCTGGAGCGATGCGGGCTGGGAGCCATCTCGCTGGGGTTGAAGGCGAGCTGGCTCTTGAGGCTCCCTTCGCTCTCCGGGGAGGGACAGGGAGCAGAGCTTGGAAGGGGCAGCAGGGGCACGTCTGGTCCGGCCCCTGCTCGGAGGAGAGCTCACCTCCATCTTCTGTCAGCTTGCATGGAGCCTTCATCCACCCTGTTTCTCCTCCTCCTTAACCCTGTCGGACCCGTTGGCAGCAAGTTTCCACCCCTGTGTCCCCTCTTGCTGGTACAGGGAGGGAAAAGGGATGAATTTGAGAGAAACTGAGACCTCACCTGGGGCCCTGCATCCAGCTCTGGGCCCTCAGCACGAGGACATGGAGCTGTTGGAGCGGGTCCAGAGGAGGCCACAAAAATGATTGGAGGGCTGGAGCCCCTCTGCTGCGGGGCCAGGCTGGGGGAGCTGGGGGTGCTCAGCCTGGAGAGGAGGGGGCTGCGGGGAGGCCTTATTGCAACCTTCCAGTACTTAAAGGGGGCCGAGAGGAAAGATGGGAACAGAGTTTTTAGCAGGGCCTGTAGTGAGGAGGACAAGGAGTAATGGTTTTAAACTAAAGGAGGGGAGATTTAGACTGGCTATAAGGAAGAAATGTTTTACGCTGAGGGTGGTGAGGCACTGGCACAGGTTGCCCAGAGAGGTGGTGGAGGCCCCATCCCTGGGAACATCCCAGGCCAGGTTGGCCGGGGCTCTGAGCACCCTGCTCTGGTTAAAGCTGTCCCTGGCACTGCAGGG